GTTTACGTTTCTGTAGATTTTGGTTTCGCTGTCTTGCAAATGTTATGGACGGTACATTTCTTTCATGGTAAGGTGCGCCATCACCCGAAAAACAAAAACAAAAAAGAAACACACCAACAGCGCCAGTTGCTATGTAAACGACACAAAGGTAGTGACGTCACAAAGCTAGCTTAAGCCAACTTAAAAGCTAGCTGAATGTTTAGCTATGCTCTGACCATACAAGTTCTTTCATACTCTCCTGCATAAAGACTTGTTTTCTATAGAGCCCACTGCACTCACTATAATTGGCCATTGAGAATCAGAAAAAAATAACACAAACTGGATTAAATATGTAAAAAATATTCTTGATAAATGTGAACTTGGAAATTAGGAAGAAACCTACAACGGTGAAAATAGAAAACAACTAAGAAAGGAATTACAATCACTGCTGACAGATCCATATAAACAGACTTGGAAAAATCAAATTAGAAATACCGAAAGTACAACAAGGTAACAAATTAAGAACATATAGTATTTTTTTTTAAAAATTTGAAATGGAAAATTACTTGAAAATAATTACTAATTTTACTCAAAGGCAATGTCTGTTCAAATTTCGTTTGAGCAATCACAATTTAGGAATTGAATTAGCCAGAAGAACAACGCCAAAACACAACTGGAGAAGAGATTATGTACAAGGTGTAATGAAAATGAGATAGATGATGAAAAACACCTTATTTTGAAATGCACACACTTCAATAAAGAGAGAGAGGTATTATCACATACAAAGAAATTCTTAGCGCTGTTAGCAAACTAAAAAACAATAAATCAGCTGCTGATGACAGCATTGCCAATGAAATGTTGAAAACCAAAAATAAGTTAATGATAAGATGTTTACAGAAACTTTTCAACTGTATTCTAGATAGTGGAAAATTTCCTGCAACCTGGAAATCTACGATTCTTGTTCCACTACACAAATCAGGTGACAAATTAAATCTTGGTAATTATAGAGCTATTGCATTAACAAGTTGTCTCTCAAAACTATTTACTGGCATAATGAATCAAAGATTGACCACATACTTGGAAGAAAATAAATTATTTACCGACATGCAGTTTGGC